CTCCTCCTCCTCCTCCTCCTCCTCATCCTCATCCTCATCCTCATCCTCATCCTCATCACTTTTTTTCCCTTGGCTGTTGTGTGAATGGTGTGTCTTCTGTGAAGCACAGATTTCTGAGCAGGTCAGAAACCCAGTTGGAGGAGTGTTTTTAGATTGTGAGAATAGGATGCGGAACCAGAAGTGTGCAAAAGGTTTCACATTTGACTCTGCCCCTATAATTTAAACCCCAAACAGTTTGGTCCAATGTTTCCAGTCAGCCTCTCTGGATTTATTTGAACCTCAACAAATTCCTCTTTTCAGCTTGGAATGTTTTTTAATGATTGGGATGACCTGAGTTTTCTGCCTTAAGACCAGGGCAATTCAAACTCTTCTGAATTCAGGGCCTTTGCTCAGTGCTAACCTCTGGTTTTATTTTGTGTGTGTCTAGAATATTCTGCGCCGGACAGAGGAAGCTTCTTTGCGAGAACAAAACGCCATGAAGGCTCTAGCTTCTGTTTCCAAGGTAAAGGTACTCATTAACAGAGGCAAACACTGATGATGTTAGCTAGTTTGGTAATGAGATGTCTGCAAGAAAAAAACAACAACCTCGGAGAGCACCAGGGACCCCTCATTTCAACCCTGAGATAGCAGGGATCAAGTCGGCCATTCCCCAACCTGGCACCCTCTAACTATCATCATGGTCAGCTCCCATCAATACTAGCCTGGCTAGACAAAGGCAAAGCATTGTGGGAATTGAAGTCCAAATAATTGGAGTTCAATTTTTTTTTGTCCTTTGGAGCACAGCTAGATTCTTAGTAACCTCATGGACATCTGTGCCATTTAAAGAACAAATTGGAATGACTACCCATGAGGCTTATACAGGTTGTCCTCAACTTACAACCATTCATTTAGCGACCGTACAAAGTTACAACGGCACTGAAAAATGGGACTCAGGACCATTTTTCACACTTACGACCTTTGCAGCATCCCCACGATTGTGGGATCAAAATTCAGATGCTAGACAATTGGTTCATACTTATGACCGTTGCTGTGTTATTATTTTGAATATATCCTAGTAAGAAAAATATTACGTATTGATTAATTAATACTGTTTATTATTACTGTTTACTATACTTATTACAGTTATCTATTACTATATTAACTATTGTTAGCTAAATATATGTACCCGGACAATAGTCTGTTTGCTAGGTATTGAAAATGTTACTGGAGGATAATCCCAATGTTGACCCCAATCCTGTCCCAATCCTAATCCTGATCTCAACCCCACCCTAAACCCCAGCCCTTACCCTGACCCTATTTTATCCCTAACCCTATAAAACTCAATAAAACTTTTTTTTTTAAAAAAAAATTCAGATACTAAGCAATTGGTTCATACTTATGACCGTTGCTGTATCTCAAGGTCATATGATTCCCTTTTGCGGACCTTCTGACAAGCAAAATCAGTGGGGAAGCCAGATTCACTTAACGACCGGGTTCTCTAACTTACCAACCGCAGTGATTCACTTAGCAGCGGTAGCAAGGAAAAGTCGTAAAATGGGGCAAAACTCACTTAACCAATGTCTCACTTAACAACAGAAATTTTGGGCTCAATTATAGTCGTACGTCAAGGACTACCTTTACCATTGCCTTCTTCCTGTATACAGATAATCCTCTACTTATGACTAACCACTTAGCGACCCTTCAAACTTACAACGGACCTTCCCAGAGTTATTTATGATCCCATTTCCAAGTTCTGACGGTCACTACTCCCCTTCACCCACCCCCTCCAGGATCACATGATCATATTTGGGCAACTTGACAATCGGCCCATCTTTATAGCGGGTTTCCCCGAAAAGAAGACCCCACCGGAAAATAAGCCCTAGCAATATTTTTTCAGGACGCTCATAATATAAGCCCCACCCCAAAAATAAACCCCAGTTAACATCAATGGATGCATTTAGTACCGTATTTCCACGAATATAAGCTCTAACTGAAAAATAAGCCCTAATGCTTCTTTTGGAGCAAAAATTAATATAAGACCTGCTCTTATTTTCAGGGAAACACAGGTAGTTGTTTGCAACAACCTGTAGTCACATAAAGGCGATTTGGGTTCATTTTGCCAGAAACAAGCTTTACCTGGCAAGCTGGCTTCATGCTGTTCTCTGACAAGCTGATACACATTCTTATTGGGCTGGCTCTCTCCTGCCCTTGGTCTGACAGTCCTCTTCCCCGACTCAGAGAGAGGGAGAGAGAGAGAGAGAGAGAGAGAGAGAGAGAGAGAGAGAGAGAGAGACTTGCGCTTCCCTTCTCTCCCTCCCCCCTCCTCTCTCTCTCTCTCTGTGTGAGAGAGACCAGCAAAGGCAAGAGCCCTGCCCAATAAGCTTGTCAGCTTGTCTGAGAACAGTGTGAGGCCACTCTCTTTTTTACACAGAGAGAGAGAGGGAGAGAGGGAGAGAGGGAGAGAGGGGGAGGGAGAGAGAAGGGAAGCGCAAGTGCCCCTCACTCTCTCTCTCTTGCAAATGGTTGAGGAGGCTTGGAGCCGCAGGAGAAGGCTCAAAGAGCCACACGCGGCTCCGGAGCCGCGGGTTGCCGACCTGTGCCATAGACATTCAGTTATAAGTCATTTTTTTCAGTGATGTTGAACGGTCACTAAATGAACTGTTGTAAGTTGAGGACTACCTGTACTGTGTTTCTAAATGCTGGAGGAGAAAAAAAAGAATGGGAAAAAAGAAAAGAAAAACACATCTTGTTGGCACCTTACCATATTTTGGAGAATGCTTTTGCTTGGATTGATGCTTCATGGAGCCACGTTTCGGTAGTTTTCTTTCGGGGGGGGGCAGTCAGTAACTTTAGAAAGCCTAAAAAAATGGACTCTTCTCTTTCTCTTCTATCCCACATTTCCAAATCTCTTCTTTAGATCATAGAGGAATGTAACTCCGAGGTCGGCCGGATGCGTCATATGGAAGAGCTGATCCACACGGCCAGCAAGATTGAGTTTGATAAGCTGAAGGTCTGAAGGGGTTTGGCTTGGGTCCTTCCGTGGGGGCTTGTCCTAGCCTGCCACAGCTTGTCCCCACGGCCCTCCAAGTGGGCTTGCATGAATTGGGGAATTTAAAAGAAGATACGGCTGCCTGGGGTTGTGCATTTAGGAGGTGGCATGGTGATATTTTTCCTGCAAGGGATCCTCAGATTACACAATTCAAGGGGTATGAGAAACTAGGTTTTACACATTAAAGACTGCCCTTTTGGCAAGCTCACTCTTAAAGGATTGTCTGCCTTGGAATACCCTGAGCCAGTGTTTTGCAACCTTGGCGATTCTAAGACGTATGGACCAGCTGGGGAATTCTGGGAGTTGAAGTCCACAGGAAAAACTGCTTTAGATTAACTTCTTCTTCTTCTTGTGCCATATCCGTTATCGGACGTTGGCGATCATGTTGGCGATCCTGTTTTTATCAGCAGCCGCACGAAAAAGTGCTGCTGAGTTTTGTCCAAACCAGTCCCTTAGATTTTGAAGCCACGATGTTCTTCTTCTGCCTGGACCTCGTTTGCCTTCAATCTTTCCCTGGAGGATTAAATAGAGTATGCCATATTTTTTCTGGGTGTCGCATCACATGTCTGAAATATTCTAATTTTCGTTTTTTAATTGTTTTGATGATTTCCCTGGGCTTTCCCAGGCGGCTTATCACCTCCTCATTTCTGATCTTGTCAACCCAGCTTATACGTAACAGCCGCCTGTAAATCCACATTTCAAATGCTTCTAGTCTCTTCAGGTGGCCTTCTGTCAGAGACCAACTCTCTACTCCATAGAGCAGGATAAAAAAAAATATAGCATCTGACAAGCCTGATTTTCAGTCTTAGGTTTATGTCGTGATTAGATTAACTAGGGAAAAATATGTCCTTTATTCATACAGATAATACCCAAATCAGAAAATAACCATGATGAAAAGCAGGCTTTCTTAAACCTTCTGCAATCCCAAATGTGATAATTGGAAAATAAAACTATACCCCCAGAATATATTTTGCAGAAGAGTAAGAAATGATTGATGGCAATCAATCAGTCAGCCAATCAATCAATCAATCAATCAATCAATCAATCAATCAAACAAACAAACAAACAAACAAACAAACAAACAATCTTAATCAATACAATTCTCAGTTTCAACTATGTGTGGACTTCAGTTTCCAGAATTCCACAGCCGGCTACCACAAAGTTTCTCAATTTCGGCTATGTTCAGATGTGTGGACTTCAGCTCCCAGAATTCCATAGCCAGCAAGACTGGCTGAGGAATTCTGGGAGTTGTAGTGCACGCATCTTAAAGTGGCCAAGTTTGAGAAATTCACGGCCTTAATCTGTGAGTTTGCTCAGGGAATCTTTGTTCTCCTTCCTTGCGAAAATCCAGACGGCTTCCAGGCACTTTTTCTAACGATTCTCTTTCCGATTTAGGCCGTTCCAATCATTTCTCAGAGCCGACAGCTGCTAAAGCAGGGGGAGCTCTTGGAAGTTGTGCATCGTGGCACCATCTTTGGCAACAAGCCCAAACTGGTCCCCATCTACCTGTTCCTCTTCAATGACCTGCTGTTGGTCACTCAGCGCAAGAGGTGAGTCCTTAAGGCCTAGGCCAGGGGTAGTCAACCTTGGCTCTTTTATGACTCGTGGACTTCAACTCCCAGAATTCCTGAGCCACCATGGCTCAGCTTGGAAACTCTCCCTTTCCCCTCAGCATGGCTGGCTCAGGAATTCTGGGAGTTGAAGTCCACGAGTCATAAAAGAGCCAAGGTTGACTACCCCTGGCCTAGGCCTAGGCCGAAAATTCTGGCAACAGGACCATTAGTCTACACATGGCTGCATTAAAAGGGGTGTATCTATAGAAGAGGCAGGAGGAGGAGGAGGAGGAGGAGGGCAAAACTTCACCTCTGCCCCAAGGTCAAATTTTGAGGGGATGGAGAATTGGAGAGGCAGTGAAGTTTGGGCTATGGTTCTGCTTCTGCAAATTTTGCAAGTTTGAGAGTGGAGCATGACCTGCTTTCCAAGCCTCCTGCTTCAAATCTTGAGGCCTAGAAACTTGTCATTAAAAAAACAACAACAACAGAGACTTCTGCCTCTGGTGCAAAGTGTCATTCCACCAGGCAAGGTGGAATGATTAAAGGAGCTGTGGTGGTGCAGTGGTTAGAATGCAGTATTGCAGCATAATTCAGCTCTCTACAGCAGCGGTTCTCAACCTATGGGTCGCGACCCCATTTGGGGTCGATCGACCATTTCACGGGGGTCGCCAAGCAAGGCTGTCCGCCATTTTTCTCCCCTTTTCCGGCGGGTGCCTTACCTCCCTTGGGCTGGGCCAGCTGGTGGTCGGCCTGCTCCGTCTCTGCCGCTTGCCAGCTATGCCTCGGCTGGCGCAGGGGGCGGAACCACGCATGCGCGGCGCTCCCGGGCAGGGAAAGTCCTCGACTTACGACCGGTTTAGTCCTCAACTTACGACCGGTTTAGTCCTCGACTTACGACCAGTTGGGGGTCGCGGCATTAAAAAAGGTTGAGAACCACTGCTCTACGGGGAGTTTGATCCTGACTGGCTCAAGGTTGAACTCAGCCTTCCATCCTTCCGAGGTTGGTTAAAATGAGGACCCAGATTGTTGGGGGCAAGAGGCTGGCCCTGCAAACTCTGCTTAAAGAGGGCTAGAAAGCATTGTGAAGCAGTATATAAGTCTTAAGTGCTCTTGGTCTCATCTCTACTCCTAGATGAGAACTGTAGCGATCTAAACCAGATTCCTGTGGTTGGGGAACTACTAGGTCTATTCATCTGCAGGTCCTAGATCTCCACAGTGGTTGACGTTGATCCCCCGTATGCAGGCCCATTCATCTGGGAAACAGCCATTGGGGGAGCAGCTGCTGTCAGTCACAATTCTTGAAAAGAAACCGAGTTTGGATTCAACTGATGGATTTTCTTTGCTTCTGTTCCGGATCTGCTCCTGCCTTTTGCTGCAGCTCAGAACGCTTTGTGGTGCTGGATTATGCCCATCGCTCGCTGGTCCATGCCCAGAACTGCGAGGACGCCTCCAACAGCCCAAATGCAGAGAACAGCTTCTATCTGACATTGATGGAGAACCACCAAGGGCGGAGTAGTGAACGCCTCTGTCGAGCCCCGACGCAGTAAGTAGCCACATACGGGCGGGAAGAGAGTTAGGAAAGGGGGTAGTAACTGTACCTCATTTATAAATAGAAGGGAGAGGTGATCAGCGTAGCCCATTTTGGTTTTTTTTTCCAGAGGGCTAGAACGTTAAATCTAGATCAAGAATGTGTACAGGTAGTCCTTGACTTATTATTATGGAGCCCAGAATTTCCATCATACTCATGACATAAATTGAGGCAGTCACATGACCGGACCCAATTTTATGAACCTTTTCGCAGTGGTTGTTAAGAAAATGCAGGGGTCATTAAATGAATCAATGTATTCCTATGGGAGGTTGTATGAGGTTTTTTTTTGCCAGAAACCAATGGAAAATTGGAGATATTCCTGGAGGCTGTGGTGGTGCAGTGGTTAGAATGCAGCATTGCAGGCAAACTCTGCCCACTGCCAGGAGTTCAATCCTGACCAGCTCAAGATTGACTCTGCCTTTCATCCTTCTGGTAAAACGAGGACCCAGATTGTTGAGGGCAATAGGCTGATTCTGTAAACCGCTTAGAGAGAACGAATACGAAGTGGTATATAAGTCTAAGTGTTGTTGCTATTGCTACTGATCGGCAGATATTCTGGGATGTGCTTTCCGGTGACTGTTGTGTTTTTTTAAAATGCTTTATTGATCATTATTCTTTGCATTGTTTACAGTGAATTGTTAGTCATCCAGTCGCATCTGGTAGATGAGAAGCCATATTGAATGAATGAATGAATGAATGAATGAATGAATGAAACCCAAACAGTGTATCTCCAAAACTGTCTTTTCCAGATCCGATATGCACCGCTGGATGGGTGCTTTCCCATGCCATGAATCCCAAGCTAATAACAAGCAGGAAACCATCTATGAAGATTGGGGTGAGACGTTTTGGCTGTGTTCCTTTTAATCCCCCCCCCCCTTCTGCTGCTTCTTGTTCAAAGGCTAGAAAACTTGAGGAACATCACACTGCTGTTCCACTTCTGGATCTGTCAGCGGTTTGTCCGCTTCGTGCTGGGGAGGCTAAAATAGCCAAGATGGAAACACCATTTCTCGTATTTTGACCTTTCAAACAGATTTCAACATTGCCTTTCAGGCTAAATTTGGTTTTCTGTGGCTGGGTTGATTTTTTCCTTTCCCAATTTCCAATTTACCTAAGGCCAGTTTGCTTTAGTGGTTAAGGCTGGAGGCTAGAGCAAGCAGAAGAGCAAAAAAAAAATGATTAAGGGAGAGGAAGATAAAACATACGAAGAACGGTTGCAGGAATTGGGTATGTCTAGTTTAATGAAAAGAAAGACTAGGGGTGACACGGTAGTCATGTTCCAATATCTCAGGGGCTGCCACAAAGAAGAGGGGGCCAAGTTATTCTCCAAAGCACCTGAAGGCAGGACAAGAAGCAATGGATGGAAATTAATCAAGGAGAGAACCAAACTAGACCTAAGGAGAAATTTCCTGGCAGTGAGAACAATTAACCAATGGAATGACTTGCCACCAGAAGTTGTGAATGCTCCAACACTGGAAGTGTTTAAGAAGAAATTGGACAACCATTGGTCTGAGGGTATAGGGCAGTGGTGGCGAACCTATGGCACGGGTGCCAGAGGCGGCTCTCAGAGCCCTCTCTGTGGGCACGTGCGCCGTCACCCCAGTCCTAGGCCTTCAGCTGGGTTTTATAAAACCTTTTCGCTTTAGGCCTCCGCCGCCGTGTACAAAAAACCAAAAGGGTTCAATCAGTCAATTTCAACTTCTCGTGGGAAAAAAAAAATCTTGCAAAGTTGGAATTGATTGATTGAACTTTTTAGTCCCACCCAGTCTGCCATTACCACTGCAGCCATGCCCACCCTATGGGCCACACCCACCCAATGGGCCACACCCACTCGGCACCCGATGATGCATAAGTGGGTTTTGGGTTGCAGTTTGGGCACTCAGTCTCTAAAAGATTCGCCATCACTGGTATAGGGTTTCCTGCTTCAGTAGGGGGTTGGACTAGAAGACCTCCAAGGTCCCTGCCAACTCTGCTATTCTGAGTGCTATGCATGATGATGTTACAGAAAAAAATGGGGTATAAATTTAATAAATACATAAGGGGCCAGGAAGTTTATTCCCTACCACCACATAGACACTTGATACCTTTCCTTCTTTTTCCTTTTTCCCTCTTCTTCTAATTTTCATAACAAAAAATTTATTACGTTATTTTTTTCTCTTCCCTTTCCGCAGATTGTCCCCAGGTTCAGTGCACAGAGACCTACAGCGCAACCCAGGCAGACGAGCTGAATCTCGAACCAACAGACATAGTCAACGTGTTACGCAAAACCGAGGGTGAGCCTTGGGGATGTGACCTTCCCTAACCGTTGCAGTTTCTTTCTCTTCTTTCTCTGAAACGACTTAGAAACTGGAGCCTCAGCTGTGGGGCTTCTTAACCGAAAAGATGGCGTTTTTTTTAGCAGAATCCTCTGCTAAAGGATTCTCTTTGATCCTTCAAGGTCCGTTCGGAGTCTCCAGCACCTTCCCCCAATTTTCAGCCACCTGCAAGTTGCAGTCCCCAACACGGAGAGGGTGTCATGGAAGAAAATGGCCCTCCACCATTTAGAACATTGGCCATCCTGACTGTGTAACGCTGTGGTGCTTCAGTGGCCCTTGAAAGGGAGATCATCAGGTGATCCCAGGCTAGGCTGTAAGCATCTGAGAAAAAGCGATAGCAAAAATTGCTAGGGGTGTGTTTGTATTGCCTCCTTGAGCAAACTCAACTTTATCTCACGTACTGTGCAATATTGGGTAATAATTGGTCTAGAATAGAGTAGAGCTGGAAGGGACCTTGAAGGTCTACTAATCCAGCCCCCTGCTCAAGCAGGAGAACCTATACCAGTAATGGCGAACCTTTTAGAGACCAAGTGCCCAAAACCTGGCCCCGTCCCCGCTCCACCCCCTGCCCTGCCCCATCCCCACTCCACTCCACCCTGCAGCGCCATGGCGGCCACGCCCTCTGCCAACCCCCCACAGCATCAACTGTGCGCGTTGGGGCGTGAGGGCAGAGTCTTGTCTACGCTGCCTGGCTGCCATGTCCTTGGCTGCGTTGCTCCGTGTGGGGCACGCTCGAGGGCGAGTCTCCTCCAGGGAGGTTGCTGGTGAGGAGGGGGTCACGCATGGAGGCAAGGCTGGGGCGACGGTGCGCGTGCCCACAGAGAGGGCTCCGAGTGCCGCCTCTGGCACCCGTGCCATAGGTTCGCCACCACTGACCTATACCATTTCAGATAAGTGACTGTCTAGTCTCTTCTTAAAAACCTCCAGTGATGGAGCACCCAGAATTTCTGAAGGCAAGCTGTTCCACTCGTTAATTGTCCTCAATTGTTTCTCCTTAATTCCAGGTTGCTTCTCTCTTTGATCAGTTTCCAACCATTATTTCTTGTCCTGCCCTCTGGTGTTTTGGAGAATAGTTTGACCCCCTTCTTGGTGGCAGCCCCTCAAATACTGGAATACTGTCATCATGTTGCCCCCGTTTCTTCCTTTTTTTAGACTAGCCAAATCCAAGTCCCGCAGCCGTTCTTCGTATGTTTTAGTCTCCAGGCCTCTAGAGCTTTATAGCCAACCCTAGCACAGAATGTATGGATTATCCACCTCAGCACAGAATGTATGGATTATATTCAATCTCATCCTTCCTTGCATAGCAAAAACAAACAAACAAAGCCCCCAGACAAAATAAAAACAGGAGTCTGCTTGCACCTTTTCTGACTCAATTTTTTTTTTAAAGGCAGAAAGCCTTATGAGTTCCAGCGAGAGCTTCTGCCTTTTAATAACATTGGTGAGTCACAAAAGGTGCTCCTGGGGTTTTTTTTGGGGGGGGGGGGGGCTCCCTAGACCAGTGTTTCTCAGTCTTGGCAACTTTTAAAGATACCTGGACTTTAATTCCCAGAATTCCTCCCAGCCAAAGGTGAGAAACATTGCCATAGATGTTGATCACGTGAACATGGGAATGCTGCAACAGTCATGTGAAAAATGGTCATGTAGTAAGTCACTTTTTTCGGTGCAATTGATCATTAGATGAATGGTTGTAAGTTGAGGACTACCTGTATTAGGATGGGGCTGATTCAGCAGGAATGTGCTTGTTGGAGCTTCACACAGCAACAGGACAGTCTCCCAAGACATTTTGAAGTGAAGAAAAGGATGCAGAGGTCTTGATTGTTGCCTTTTTTTGTCTCCTCTCGTCTGCTCTGGTCTTGTCTCATCTCGTCTCCTCTATCTTCCTCTCCTCTCCTCTCCCTTCCTGTCCTCTCCTCTTCCCTTCTCTCCTCTCTCTTCCTCTCATCTGCTCTGGTCTTGTCTCCTCTCCTCTGCCTTCCTCTCCTCTCTCCTCTCCCTCTCATCTGCTCTGGTCTTGTCTCGTCTCATCTCGTCTCCTCTATCTTCCTCTCCTCTCCACTCCTCTTCCCTTCTCTCTCCTCCTCTCCCTTCGTCTGCTCTTGTCTCTTCTTTGTCTTCATCTCCTCTATCTTCCTCTCCTCTCCTCTGTCTTCCTGTCCTCTCCTCTCCTCTTCCCTTCTCTCATCTCTCTTCCTCTCATCTGCTCTGGTCTTGTCTCCTCTCCTCTGTCTTCCTCTCCTCTCCTCTCGTTTTCCCCTCCTCTTGTATGCTCTGGTCTTGTCCCATCTCCTTTATCTTCACCTCTTGTCTTCCTCTCCTCTCCTCTATCTCCTCTCCTCTGTCCCTTTCTTTCCTCTCCCTTATTCTCCTGTCTTCCTCTCCTCTCCTCTGTTTTCCTTTCTCTTCTCTCCCTTCCTCTCCTCTCCTTTGTCCTCTCCTCTCCCCCCCCCCCCATGCTACAGGCTGGTACGAGGGCATACGCCTAGCCGATGGCAAGAAGGGCTGGTTCCCCTCTTCCTACGTGCAGGAGATCACAAACGAACACGTACGCCGCCGCAACCTCCGTGAGCGTTACCGTGTCCTCCAGGTGGCTCGCCAGCTGCAGCTGATGCGCACCAATTGCGTCAAAAGCAAGTACAGCTCAGCCTGAGACTGAAGCTGCACAGTCAACCAAGCAAGTGACGGGGACACCCGGCCTGCAATCAATCTCACGGCTGGACTCAAGGCTCGACTTCCATTTCGCTGGGCGTGGAGCAGCATTTGCCTCAAGAAGGCGCTGAAGACGGGGAGGATGATGGAGAGCAGTGGTGTTTCGGCTGAAAGGCTACTGAAGGGTGAGAGAGCGGAAGAGAGAGATGCAAGCATGCCCAGTTGACTGTCCGAAGTTTATGGCAGCTGCAATGCCATAAGCTAGCCAGTAGAGGCAGCAAAGGCATTGCTTCAAACACGCCCCTTCTGCCAGAAGGGGGCGACAAGACTGCATTTTCAGTTGCATTGCAGAGTTGACAGACTCGGCAACGACGTCCTGTTCCGATTGTTCCCAAGTTGTGTCCTAACTCCTCCGACTCTGCTTGGCATCTCAGTGTTCCTGAGGGATGACCATGAACCTTCTCAGAGGATTGGCGTAAAGAGGGGACACTCAACTTCGCACACTCATCTTGTACCTTGAGATAGCAATGGTGCCATATTTTAGGAAGTTCCCGGATCCGAGATACGATCAAATGGATTACTGCCTTGTTTTGTTTAACCAGAAGGGTCCGTTTGACCTGAGCAGGTGTTCTACTTGCCCCACCGTTTTTGCAATGACTTATCCACCTGTTCAAATACATGTAACGATTCAGGCCTACCACCCGTAGGCCTTGTTTTGGGGCGGGTTGCGGGCTGGTTTGTACTTCACCTATGTCGACACATGGACGTGCCTTGCCCTTCGCTGGTAGAACTCTGGTAGGCAGAACAGACTCCCCCCCCCCGTCCCCATAAAATGCGTCTTGCAAACGGGATCCACACTGGTATTACCAATATCCTTATCCTGAACCTGGTGCTGCCACGGCCAATACTTCAAACCTTCCCAGTGGTCCTTAAACCTGGGCTCAGGTGAGCGCCGTCCTCTACCTCAGTTCCTGTCCTTTTCTGAGGCCAGGAATCCAGGACTCTGTGGACCCAGCTTATTCTAACTCTTCTTCTCACCCTCAAGAGTTCAACAAACTTTTCTCCTTCATGCTAACCTGCCTTGATCTATCCTGGATTTTTCTCCTTTGCAAAAGCAAGGAATTCCTCTTCTCTCGCCTCCCGGTCTGGAAAGCTCACCACGGATCGGCTCGTATTTATTAAATGTGTCGCCCTCTTTAGCTCTCGAGCTGGAGGAATTTCGGCTTGGAGGGGGGGTGGGGGGAAAGCGGAGGAGATTGTATTTTAATTTATTCTGCGCCATATTTGCTTGCGGTGTGTGACCTCGCTTGTGTTTTTTTTTATCCCAAACGGCCTTTTTTTTTTTAAATACAGATGAACAAAATGTGCCAGTGCTTGCCTTCAGTTTTTGCTTCTCCCTACTTAATAAAAGAGTCTCTTACTGCCGAGATTGGAATTTGACCAAAATAGCAAATCCGCTAAACCAAAATGGTTCCCTTTAAATAAAGCCTGAAGGGATCAAATCACCGGTTGGCTTAATAGGTTGTACGAAACTATGGGGCCTTCCAGGTTCAAAACTCAGCTGGAGGACACGAGCCTGACATAGGAGAATTCCTAATATTTCAGTTCAGGATTGCGTTTCCAGTTTGCAACTGGAGATAAGAATAGAGGCCTCTGTGTAAAATTCACTTAGTTGGGCTGAGCTCGCTCCTGTTGGCTGGTGCTAAAAGGCGGATTATTCGGCTGCCTTGGCGGGGAAAGCTTTGAACGGATGGCTCAGTTGTTCCAGTTGCAGAAACAAGAAGAGGCATGGCTGGTTCCAGAAGGAAAAATCAGGGATGGATCTCTCGAATGGCTGGGCTGGTTTTCTGCCCATCGGAAATTTTAAGAATTCCCAACTGATTTAGAATTTCTGGCTCGGGAGATTCTGGAAGGCCAGTTGATCCCTTCGTTTAGTTCAGTATTTGTCAACGTCTGCAGGTTTAAGACGTGCAGATTTCAACTCCCAGAATGCTGGCGGAGGAATTCTGGGAGTTGAAGTCCACACATCTTAAAACCAGCCAAGGTTGACAACACTGGTTTAGTTCGTGCACATCACCCTCGTATCATTACAAACATCTAAAAACATTTGGTTAAATGGTAGATGGAGGCTAGGTGTCAGGAAGGATGAATTACGGGCTGTTAGGCGGTGGAACAGACAGCCACATGAAACAGCAAGGTCTTTACTAAAGATTCTCAGACTAGACTCTTCTGCTAGAGATGTTTCAGTGGATTCCCCACTGAGTAGCCGATCTCTACAATCTCTTCCAGTGATCTTGACTAACCTAACGATCTTGAACCAAAGCACAGCCCGGGTTGTAAAACTTTTATTTTTTCCCCTTCTCGAATAAGGCTGAGCATGCCTGCCTCTTTTAAAATGGAGCTTTATTTAGTGTGCTGTCAAACAGGAAATAATTTAAAGCACGCTTCGTACGGCTCGCACACTGCCACCCCTCCATCCGCACAGACCGATAGATCCATGGCACGCAGTATTGTGAGAGGCTACACAAGGTTGTGAGCCTCCCTCAGAGAGCCACAAGGCTCAAGGAGTGGAAAGAAGCCATCTTGAACGAAGAGCCTTTTAGCTGTCAAACAGATACAAACCACCCTTTATGTAACATGACTGAAAGACTTTTAGCCCTGGGATTCTAGCCAGCACTGGAAAATAAGAAGCGAGTGGTGTCGGCTGCTCCCATTACACTGCTTAATATTCCTAGGAATTTGAAAATGCATTGAGAGCCATTTTTGGGTGGGGTGATTTGTAACTGTAGTCAGCCTTCCATGTCCTCCTCCCTCCCTCTTTCCCGGCCAACTGAGTCAAGAGGCATGCCTATAGGGCAGGGCTTTTCAACCTTTTCCCCCATTGTACCACTTTTAGGATATGGCAACATCCGAGTACCACCAGTCGCCTAGCAAGGTGTCAAAAACTTGATGACCAAAAAAAAAAAAAAGTGATAAAGTATAGGTAGTCCTTGACTTACAACAGTTCGCTTAGTGACTGTTCGAAGTTACAATGGCACTGAAAAAAGTGACCCCCAAGCCACAGCCGAGCAAGACACCTGCCTACCCACCCGGCAGTGCTCTTCCTCCTGTCGGAGGTTTTCATTGTTGTGAGAATTTCTGTTGAGGATTGGCAGTGGAGGGGGGGGATGTTTGGTTTTTATTCCCCCCATCTGCTGGGTGGTTGCAGCAGGTTTTGGTCACTTTACATGACCCTGGGACACTGTGACCGTCATAAATATGAATCAGTTGCCAAGCATCTGAAGGTAAATCACAAGACCCTGGAGATGCTGCAACGTTCCAGCTGATTGGTGCTTCTTCAGGGCTCAGCAGAAGCGCTAGGATCAGCGCCGAGCTCCAGTTGGAGCCTGGCGCTGATCCTGGCGCTTCCGCTGAGCCCTGACAGCCCTGCAGCTCCATCCGTCTCTCGCTCAGGCTTGTGCGGTGCTGCCACCGGTTCAGCTCATTCCCCTCTCCCGCTACCACTTTTCTAGGATGGTCGCGTACCACCTGCCAGGTGCCAATGTACCACAGGTGGCACCCGTACCACTGGTTGAAAAGCCCTGCTATAGGGAAGGCTCCCCCCCCCCAGCATCAGGAATGAAGAAAACCCAATGATATCTGTCCTTTATCTTCTTTCTTCGTTGTCCCAAAGGTGCTTTTCCATTGCCCCACCATCCAGTCAGAGCCGAAGAAGCTTCTTGGATGAGAAGCGAAACGTCTTCAAAGATAAAACAAAAAAGTCCAGTTGCCTCCTGAAATAAGCACCTTTGGGACAACCAGGACCTGGAGGACCGAGAATCTCCATTAGACATTTAGCTGTGCTCTTTCTTCATTGCTTCCTTTGAGTTCCTGGAGCTGTTTTTGTGTAAACAAAAAAATGAAGCCTCCCACGACAGAACTTCCAGCCCCTTCCCGATCTTCTCGCTCATGAGAATTGGGCTGAAGCACCCTTCTTGTTTCACCAGCACCCAGATCTTGAGCCCCTGCCCCCATTATGCCAAAATTGGATTCGGAGAGAACCTGGCGAGAACCTGGCTCGCCGGCAGATTGTAGCTTGGGAGAAAATCAGGAGTGGAAGAGATGAAATTCTGGAATTCCGGCAGGGAAGAATTCGGCGTTGTATCCATCCTATGGCGCTTTCGAATTGTGCTGGAGAAGACCTAGGAGTCCCTTGGACTACGAGGAGATTCCGTCAGTAAATCCCAAAGGACATCAACCTTGACTGTTCTTTAGAAAGACAGATACTGAAGTTGAGGCTCAAATACTTTGGCCACCAAGTGAGAAGAGAAAAGACTCCTTGGAAAAGACCCTCATATTTGGGAAAGGAAAGGGAGAAGGGGACTGCAGAGAAGGAGATGGTTAGATAGGGCCATCAACGCAACGAACATGAATTTGGACAAACTCCCAGGAGACAGTGCAACACAGGTGGGCCTGGCCTGCTATAGTCCACGAGGTTGCGAAGAATCAGATGCATCTTAACTGAACAACAAGCTCCAATCCATCCTATGGAGAGACTTAGCCCAACAAGGCTGATCTTCTTTAGCACAGTAAGAATTCTTTGAAGGCTGAGCCATCGGGATTGGGGACAGGCCTTGGAGCAGACCCTGATCAAGTAACAACTGGCCCAAGAGTGGAACAGCCTCTCCAATCTTGGGGCAATGGGAGATGATGGAAGGAAGGCAACAGTGGCTCCTGATGCTAGTGGTAACCAAAGATAAAGGGCCAAGCAGTAACTGAGTCCATTTGCACTTGGAAACCAATTGTCCCTTTCTCTGCTTTTGAAGGCACTTAGTGGCAACGAAGCTGGAGAGAGAGAGAGAGAGAGAGAGAGAAAGTCCCCTGTTTTTTGCGCCTCTCTCGCCATGGTGCCCTCTATGATCCATGGGCTGGAGGGGGGAGCCAGGGGTTGCCAGCGTTAGGGGTCCACAAAGGAAACCATGATGTAGCGAGTGCCCCAAGTGGTGGGCAGACCTTCGTGATAGTGGGTGAGACGTCCCGGGTGGATCAGGCTCCATCCCTTGCGGGGAGATTCCACTTTGCAATCGTAGCGGATAAATCGGCAACCGCCTCCCTAGGGGGCAAAGAGAACCATTTTAGACAGACAAGAGACCAGGTTCAAATGATCATTAGTTTATAGGTATTATGCAAAGACTGGGTCCTCTTGAGAGGTCTTATCATGCTGGGAAAAATGGAAGGAAACAGAAGAGGACAACCAGCAGCAAGATATATGGATACAGTGGCACCAGGACCATCCTAGAGAAGGTTTATCTCTGTAGCTGTTAAAAGTTAACACTGACCACATGGCCCATTATGCATCCATCAGGCAAACATAAACTTGTGAATGAAGGCGAATATACGTGTCCCAGGATAATGTTGCAGGATCCAATCTTCAATCCACACTGTTCCAGGTTTAAGTTTATTACAGTCAAAGGCCAGAGACCAGAACAAATAAAAACACTCAATGAATATCCAGTTAAAATTCTAGAGTAAAATAATAAATAACAGATAAAAGCTATATTAAAATCATAATTTGGCATCCAAGTCTGTCCGTTACACATGGCCCAACTATAATATCAATCCTTAAACTATGGGCCCATAGTCATTGAATACTAAAACACAAAAAAATAAAATAGTAATGCAAAAGAGCCCTGTAATGTACAAGGGCATACAGATTTTGCAGCTATTAAGATTGTTAAGACAAGCAAGCACAAAAACAGCCAGGGAAGTGATTGAAGCCTGGGAAACCTCATCAGTCAACAGGAGTGCTGATTTACCACCAGCTTTTCAAGTAATAATAATAATAATAATAATAATAATAATAATAATAATAATAATAATAGTAGTAGTAGTAGTAGTAGTAGAAATAATAATAATAATAATAATAATAATAATAATAATAATAATATTAGTAGTAGTAGTAGTAGTAGTAAAGTTGGAAGGGACCTTGTAAGTCATCTAGTCCAACCCCCTGCTCAGGCAGGAAACCCTATACCATTTCGGACAAATGGCTATCCAGTCTCTTCTTAAAAACGTCCAGTGTTGGCGCGTTCACCGCTTCTGGAGGCAGGTTGTTCCACTGGTTAATTGTTCTAACTGTCAGGAAGTTTCTCCTTAGTTCTAGGTTGCTTCTCTCCTTGATCAGTTTCCACCCGTTGCTTCTTGTCCTGCCTTCAGGCGCCTTGGAGAATAACTTGACTCCCTCTTCTTTGTGGCAGCCCCTGAGATATTGGAACACGGCTATCATGTCCCCCCTCGTCCTTCTCTTCGTTAAACTAGACATACCCAATTCCAGCAGCCTTTCCTTATATGCTTTGGCCTCCGGTCCCCTG